TATATATATATATATATATATATATATATATATATATATATATATATATATATATATATATATATATATATATATACAAACCTAGAAGGGGTACCACCTCTGGTGCAAGTGTAGGGACCCATAGCCTCGGAGAAGAAAATAAAGAGTACTCAGAGAAGACCTTATGGATCCTCACTGAACACTTTGATATTTTCTTCTCCTACCACCCCTATTCTTTTGGTATGTGTGTATATTTATCTTTTATATCGTTTATATATCTTTTTTATATATATTATTTATCGTTTATATATATATATATATATATATATATATATATATATATATATATATATATATATATATATATAATTGACGATCCCGGGTTCGTTCCCCTCGAAGGAGAGAAGTGTTTAGGCTCGTTTCAACTGATGCCTCTGTTCACCAAGGCCCCCCCTGGAGTTAGACAACTGTTGCACATCTTGCGAGACGGCCCAGCGGGACCTCGATCGCGTTTTCTGTTGCCAAAGAAGGGAATTCTCACACACAAATTGGTAAACAAGAGAGATGTGAAATCTTTGGCGGGGGATGCTGGTGGACTCGTCTGGGAGCGCATCAGTTATCGTCACCTGGGAGATGACAGCTGCCATGGGGTGACCTGCACCAGCATCTTCATCTGATTGTACGGTGTTGAGATGAGAGATGTGTAGTCAAGAGTAAGATAAGGAGATGGACTATGGCAAGGGAGGAGATAACATTCTGAAAGACCAAAACACGTGCAAGGTAACAGAATACTTGGGAGAACACGTGGAAGAGAGAACACGTGGAAGCAGAACACGTGGGAGCAGAGCACGTGGGAGGAGAACACGTAGACAGGAGCAGAACACGTGGAAGGTAGCAGAACAAGTGGAATGTAGAACACGCAGAAGGAAGAACACGTGGAAGGTAGCAGAACACGTTTGAGGAGAACACACAGAAGGGAGGAGAACACGTAGACAGGAGCAGAACACGTGGAAGACAGAGTGGTCAAGGCCTCAGATCCAAATACAAGCCCTCGACGAACGACGTAGAGAACTTAAGCAATGTCGAATGAAAGGCACAGACAGACGCCATGATGCATGCCACTCTCCACCCGTCTATCCCCCCCCCCCCCACCCGTCCAACCCTTACCTCCTGTCCCCTCCCCACAGCACCCGTCTCTCTCCCCCACAAGCGCGGGTAACCATTACCCTGGGTGCATGGAGTGGAAGCCTTGTGATCAAAATAGCCGTGGACGCTATCTTTGCTAAAGACATCAGTGCTGGGGCAGGTGTCTTCTGAGTCATCCAGCGCTACACTGCAGATTTCGTCACCATGTCGCCGTGAATAGAACCCCCCCCGCCCCCCTAAGTCTTGAACGATATGGATTACATCCTTGTCATAGATGCATTCCTTCCTCTCCCGTTGTCCTCTTACGTCATCTGCTGCTACTCCTTCTCCAAGTTATCCCTGGGAGTGGTTTGTAGAGCGAAGGTTAGCTAGCTACCAAGCGCATATGTTATCAAGCACATACGCTACCAAGCACATATGCTACCAAGCACGTATGCTACCAAGCACATATGCTACCAAGCACGTATGCTACCAAGCACATACGTTACCAAGCACATATGCTACCAAGCACGTATGCTACCAAGCACATACGTTACCAAGCACGTATGCTACCAAGCACATACGTTACCAAGCACATATACAACCAAGCACATATGCTACCAAGCACATATGCTACCAAGCACATATGCTACCAAGAACGTATGCTACCAAACACATATGCTACCAAACACATACGCTACCAAACACATATGCTATCTATCATCACGTCAGCAAGGCGGACAATCCCGCATGCTACCATAAATTTATGGGTTTGTATGTACCATTTCTTAATCGTTATCTTAACCTGTACCTCTTCATCATCTTCACATTCCAAAACCCTCCACCCGTTCAAAATATAAGGAAGGCCTCGTTTTTCACAGGTTCGATCCCACATACACACGTAAAAGGACGTACTTAAAATGGTTACTTACGTGTTAAGTTCGTATTACTTTTGGAATAAAATCTATTTATCTATTAAGTAGGTATTACTTTTCAAGAAGGATGTATTTACCTGTTAGCTTTGGATTTATTTTTTCAAAACAGCAGATCTATCTTGTAAGTGTCTATTAGGACAATAATAATTGCATCTTACCTGGATTCTCTCTCTCTCTCTTTCTCGGGCTCACCATAGCCCGTGCTACTTGGGACTCACCTGTAAAGAAAGGAAAAGTAATATTAAATGATTTTAATGATAAATATCAATTCTTCCTCCCTGTTAGTATATTGGATGATTTAGTTTTTTTTAAGCGATTAGGAGACACTTGGTGAGTTAAGTAGTTAAGGTGCCAATTGAAGTTGTTTAAGTGTTGTCAAAAGCTGCATTAATATGAGTGTGTACTCACCTAGTTGTGTTTGCGGGGGTTGAGCTCTGGCTCTTTGGTCCCGCCTCTCATCCGTCAATCAACTGGTGTACAGATTCCTGAGCCTACTGGGCTCTATCATATCTACATTTGAAACTGTGTATGGAGTCAGCCCCAATCGTGTGTGTGTGTGTGTGTGTGTGTGTGTGTGTGTGTGTGTGTGTGTGTGTGTGTGTGTGTGTGTGTGTGTGTGTGTACTCACCTAATTGTGCTTGCGGGGGTTGAGCTCTGGCTCTTTGGTCCCGCCTCTCAACCGTCAATCAACTGGTGTACAGATTCCTGAGCCTATTGGGCTCTATCATATCTACATTTGAAACTGTGTATGGAGTCAGCCTCCACCACATCACTTCCTTATGCATTCCATTTACTAACTACTCTGACACTGAAATAGTTCTTTATAACGTCTCTATGGCTCATTTGGGTACTCAGCTTCCACCTGTGTCCCCTTGTTCGCGTCCCACCAGTGTTGAATAGTTCATCCTTGTTTACCCGGTCGATTCCCCTGAGGATTTTGTAGGTTGTGATTATGTCCCCCCTTACTCTTCTGTCTTCCAGTGTCGTAAGGTGCATTTCCCGCAGCCTTTCCTCATAACTCATGCCTCTTAGTTCTGGGACTAGTCTAGTAGCATACCTTTGGACTTTTTCCAGCTTCGTCTTGTGCTTGACAAGGTACGGGCTCCATGCTGGGGCCGCATACTCCAGGATTGGTCTTACATATGTGGTGTACAAGATTCTGAATGATTCCTTACACAGGTTCCTGAACGCCGTTCTGATGTTAGCCAGCCTCGCATATGCCGCAGACGTTATTCTTTTTATGTGGGCTTCAGGAGACAGGTTTGGTGTCATATCAACTCCTATGTGTGTGTGTGTGTGTGTACTCACCTATATGTACTCACCTATATGTGCTTGCAGGATCGAGCATTGACTCTTGGATCCCGCCTTTCTAGCTATCGGTTGTTTACAGCAATGACTCCTGTCCCATTTCCCTATCATACCTAGTTTTAAAAGTATGAATAGTATTTGCTTCCACAACCTGTTCCCCAAGTGCATTCCATTTTTCTACTACTCTCACGCTAAAAGAAAACTTCCTAACATCTCTGTGACTCATCTGAGTTTCCAGTTTCCACCCATGTCCCCTCGTTCTGTTATTATTACGTGTGAACATTTCATCTATTTCCACTTTATCAATTCCCCTGAGTATTTTATATGTCCCTATCATATCTCCTCTCTCCCTTCTTTTCTCTAGTGTCGTTAGGTTCAGTTCCTTCAGCCGCTCTTCATATCCCATCCCTCGTAACTCTGGGACAAGCCTCGTCGCAAACCTCTGAACCTTCTCCAGTTTCTTTATGTGTTTCTTCAGGTGGGGCTCCATGATGGCGCGGCATACTCTAAGACGGGTCTCACGTAGGCAGTGTAAAGTGCCCTAAAAGCTTCCTCATTTAGGTTTCTGAATGAAGTTCTAATTTTCGCCAGTGTAGAGTACGCTGCTGTCGTTATCCTATTTATATGTGCCTCAGGAGTTAGATTAGGTGTCACATCCACTCCCAGGTCTCTTTCTCGAATCGTTACAGGTAGGCTGTTCCCCTTCATTGTGTACTGTCCCTTTGGTCTCCTGTCACCTGATCCCATTTCCATAACTTTACATTTACTGGTGTTAAACTCCAGTAGCCATTTCCCTGACCATCTCTGCAGCTTGTTTAAGTCCTCTTGGAGGATCCTACAATCCTCGTCTGTCACAACTCTTCTCATTAATTTTGCGTCATCTGCAAACATTGACATGTATGATTCCACTCCTGTAAACATATCATTTACGTAAATTAGAAAGAGGATTGGTCCCAGCACCGATCCTTGAGGTACTCCACTTGTTACTGTTCGCCAGTCCGACTTTTCGCCCCTTACCATTACCCTCTGGCTCCTTCCTGTTAGGTAGTTCTTCACCCATACTAGGGCCTTTCCGCTTACTCCTGCCTGCCTCTCAAGTTTGTATAGCAGTCTCATGTGCGGTACCGTATCAAAGGCCTTTTGGCAGTCAAGAAATATGCAGTCTGCCCAGCCTTCTCTGTCCTGCCTTATCCTTGTTACTTTATCATAGAATTCTAAAAGGTTTGTTAGGCATGATTTCCCTGTCCAGAACCCATGTTGGTGCTTGTTTACAAACCCAATGCTCTCCAGGTGTTCAACAAGTCTTAGCCTAATTATTCTTTCAAGTATTTTGCAGGGGATGCTTGTCAGTGATACGGGTCTGTAGTTAAGTGCCTCCTCCCTATCACCTTTTTTTTTTTTTTTTTTTTTTTTTTTTTTTGTGTGTGTGTGTGTGTGTGTGTGTGTGTGTGTGTGTGTGTGTGTGTGTGTGTGTGTGTGTGTGTGTGTGTGTGTGTGTGTGTGTGTGTGTGTACACTCACCTAGTTGTGCTTGCGGAGGGTGAGCTTCGGCTCTTTGGTCCCGCCTCTCAACCGTCAATTTAGGGTGTGTGCGCGCGTGCGTACGTGCGTGTGTGCGTATCATAGTGATAATGACACCAGCTTTCACGTTCAGAATTCAGAAGTGTCAATCAAAACAGAGCTATCCTTGAAGTACACCACCGGTACTGAGCAGGTGTGGGCTAAGTGCAACATCGGTACTGAGCAGGTGTGGACTGAGTACAACACCGGTACTGAGCAGGTGTGGACTGAGTACAACACCGCTAGTGAGCAGGTGTGGGCTGAGTGCAACACCGGTAGTGAGCAGGTGTGGGCTGAGTACAACACCGCTAGTGAGCAGGTGTGGACTGAGTACAACACCGGTAGTGAGCAGGTGTGGACTGAGTACAACACCGGTAGTGAGCAGGTATGGACTGAGTACAACACCGGTAGTGAGCAGGTGTGGACTGAGTACAACACCGGTAGTGAGCAGGTGTGGACTGAGTACACCACCGGTAGTGAGCAGGTGTGGACTGAGTACACCACCGGTAGTGAGCAGGTGTGGACTGAGTACAACACGGGTACTGAGCAGGTGTGGACTGAGTACAACACCGGTAGTGAGCAGGTGTGGGCTAAATACAACACCAATAGCGAGCAGGTGTGGACTGAGAACAACACCGGTAGTGAGCAGGTGTGGGCTAAGTGCAACACCGGTAGTGAGCAGGTGTGGACTGAGTACAACACGGGTACTGAGCAGGTGTGGACTGAGAACAACACCGGTAGTGAGCAGGTGTGGACGCTTACTCCAAACCTTACACCCCCTCGGGACACCTGAAGAAAGCCTGTCCACCCGTCCTCCTTCTCTCCTTATAAAGTGCCCTAATCCTAACCTACCAGAGGACCCAAAACAGAAAACGGGAACAGTGTGTGCGTCAATTTCGCGAGCCGCTGCCATTTTCTAAACGGCAATTTTTGCCCGTAGGTTGAGTATACGTCAAAATGCGACGTGTGATGCGACGACGGACCTTTGACAAGCGCCCGGCTTCCTGTCCTCGTCGAGGCCACTAGTGTTAGTGGCCCTCCCTCAGGTAAATTCAGGTAAGTCGCAGGTTTCAAAACCCTCTTTTTAATATAAGGGTGATTAGCTACATCTCTTTCATCGTTCAGTAGAGAATTTTATAGACATATTCCACGGATAACTGACCAATCAGGCTGTGATTCCTTAGCCGAGTGCATGCAGCGGGGCTCCAACAGCCTGGTTAATCAGACTGTCAACCAATAATCCCAATTAGAAACCGGGGGGGGGGGGACAATTCTGGGAAACTCCTCCAGATAATTCCGAGGTAAAATACGTTTACAGCGACGCCCTTTACATAGCACAAATCCACAAGGGCTGTGACGAGGATTCGAACCTGCGTCCGAGAGCATCCCAGACGCTGCCTTAATCGACTGAGCTACGACATGGTAAAAGAATTGCAACCGGAAATTCTACTGAATTTACTTGGATCCTGCAGCCTCTCCGAGACACAAACCAGGATTTTAAGCAATTCCCCCCCCCCCATGCACTCGAGCTATGTCAATATCTTTACATAGCATCGCGAGCGACAGTTCCCACTCCACCTGTTACTACTGCAGATTATCTTGAGGTTATCTTGAGATGATTTCGGGGCTTTAGTGTCCCCGCGGCCCGGTTCTCGACCAGACCTCCACCCCCAGGAAGCAGCTCGTGACAGCTGACTAACTCCCATGTACCTATTTACTACTAGGTAACAGAGGCATCAGGGTGAAAGAAACTCTGCCCATTGTTTCTCGCCGGCGCCCGGGATCGAACCCGGGACCACAGGATCACGCGTCCAGTGTTCTGTCCACTCAGCCGCCGGCTCCCTGCTAACAAATTGCCTCCAGATTATACCACATTTAAAGAAGAGAGATCAAAGACAGCCTCCGAAGATGCTGGGGTACCCGGTAACTTGAGTGCGTCCTCAAGTGCTGCACATAGGGACTTACTGACGAGCCAAGTCCGTCCTGAGTTCATCGAGCTGTTGAGAAAGGTCCTGACTGGCGGTCAACACCACTCGCTAATTGACTTAGCGCATCATTAAGCAGATAATCAATTCGAGTGGAGTGTTGTTTGTCAATGGGACTAATTAATTGTTGTTTTTACATTCTCTCCCAAACATGGTGAGTATACCCGTCCCAGCGCTGAATGTCTATCAGTCCCAACGGTGAATGTCTATCAGTCCCAGCGCTGAATGTCTATCAGTCCCAGCGCTGAATGTCTATCAGTCCCAGCGCTGAATGTCTATCAGTCCCAGCGCTGAATGTCTATCAGTCCCAGCGGTGAATGTCTATCAGTCCCAGCGCTGAATGTCTATCAGTCCCAGCGCTGAATGTCTATCAGTCCCAGCGGTGAATGTCTATCAGTCCCAGCGGTGAATGTTTATCAGTCCCAGCGCTGAATGTCTATGAGTCCCAACGGTGAATGTCTATCAGTCCCAGCGCTGAATGTCTATCAGTCCCAGCGCTGAATGTCTATCAGTCCCAGCGCTGAGTGACTACCCCCTCTCCGTCTCAGCGCTGAGCAGCACACTAGACACACACACACACACACACACACACACACATCCCAGTCTAATTATAAATACCATTTCGTCTATTAGATTTCATGATTCTATACAAGCGTTCGTATGTTTTAAGACAAATTACATTTTTAGAAGAGTACAATATGGAGAGGCCTACACGAGGTTCACAAAATTAGGGTTGTAAGTGAAGTTTAATTCATTTATTATGCACCCTATACCCATCTTGTGGGCGGTTGTGGAAAGGGTTAAAAGCTCATTTATTGATTTATGATTTAAGTGAGAGTTACGAGTGAGAGTTACGAGTGAGTTACGACTAAGAGTTACGAGCTCACCAACACCACTACCAGTGTTGGTGAATTGTATTTGTTACGAATAGCTTCTAATTATAATTTTAACTTTAAGTTATATCTTGTCCCAGGGCAAGATAATCAAGGGACCCGGGTTCGAGCCCCATCCCGGGCAGGACAAGAACAGTTGGGGACATTTCCTTCCACCCCTGATGCACCTTTGCACCTAGCCATAAACAGGTACCCGGGATTTGGGCAACTTTGCTGAGTTTGCATCTTGGGTAAGGAGAGTGACTGACCTAGGGTAGGCTAGGGTAGGGTGGGGAGGGGTTGACCTCGATAGGCCTAAGCACAAGCTTCCTGTCCCCCCCCCCCCCCCCCGACAAAGGGAGTCAACCATCAGATCAGCGTGACCATCAGATCAGCGTGACCATCAGATCAGTGTGACCATCAGATCAGTGTGAATTCTGCAAAGGACGCAGCGATCCAGTGCTCAGTAACATTTTGTCCAGGCACAAGTCTGTTTACATATGGTATTTCCATCATGGTATTAAACGCATCCATGGATGATGCTGAGGTCCCAGCGTGTGGATAATTTATTCCTCAAGCTCTGGAGTGTAATGTGGAGCCTCGGGTGTGATTTCTTTGAGCCAGGGGAGGGGGGAAGCTAAGTGCACCTAGTAGTCAGTAGGCACCTGGGAAGGAGATAGGCGGCTGCTGAGAGATCTCGGTAAATGTACCAGACTTCCTGTCACGCGACAGTGGGAAACCAGGACTCCTCAAGAGGCAATAACGTGTGCTGGAAGACTGTATCTGTGCTTGCAGTGTGTGTGTACTCTCCATGCTTCACGTGCTTGTGGTCAAGTTTCTCCTCACCACATCCTGGCTCACTACAGCACCCTCCTCACTCCACTCACTCCTCACTCCACTCTCTGTCCACTCACTTCTCACTCCACTGCTCTATATGGCGCCCAAGTGGTTACTGAACACTATATTTTAGCTCGTTTAAAATTAAATTCATTCCGGGAGTTAAAGTAATCAGTTGTAACGTGACTGTGTAGGCTTCGAGAGTTGTTCTACAGCTTTTGCTGATAGTTGCGTGGTCTTTCCGGCTATTTGTCTTCGTATCCTGAAAGCACACACACACACACACACAGCCATCACAGTCAGGCTGATCCGGTAAATTTAGCAGAAACTTGTCCAGAATGAGGAGTCGTGGAGCTCTGATGATCTCTAATTGTTTTTATGGCACTCGGACTTTTCACTGGATATATTTTGCACTTCCTACCATGTCTCTCACTCCAGTATGTTGTCATTTTAGTGTGAAGTTTGGAAGGTGTTCTTGCAGTATATTCCATGTGTATGTTGTGCTGTATCTCACGCCTCTCCGTCCCAAGGAGTAGAGTTTAGGTGCTTCCCGCCAAACACACACCGAAACTACGACGTTGGTACAACGTTCGAACAACTTTTAACACCTCCTAACCAGTTATAACAACCAATATAGCAAGTTGTAACAACGTTCTAATACGTCATAAACACATTAAGCCAAGATGTAACAACTTTATTACAAGTTGTAACAAGCGGAACATAGAGACAGTTTCAGATTGTGTTTCCAGGGTTGCAGTTGGCTCAGTTGTCTAAATGCTTCAAAGGTGTTATGTTTGCAGTAAAGGAACTCTGCACGCTTTCCTCCTCTTTCAAGCGTAGGTTAGACATATATATGAGTGGGATTGGGTGGATATAAATAGGAGCTGTCTCGTATGGGCCAATAGGCCTTCTGCAGTTACTTTCATTCTTATGTTTTCTTAAAAAAATCCACAACACATTAACAAACTACAACCTGGACAAACCTCTCCTAGGCCTAATATAAGCAGTCCCAGGCCTAATGTATTGCTTTGTAATGTATATATATATATATATATATATATATATATATATATATATATATATATATGTGTGTGTGTGTGTGTGAATGAAAGCTGCATGAACGCGCAAGCCATATATCACTAAGATTATATATATAATATATATATATATATATATATATATATATATATATATATATATATATATATATATATATACCAGTACATGTTGATATGTTCTCAGGAGCTACAGTCGAATTGTGTATAAATATACTCCACACATGCTATATGTGTAAGTATTTTTCAAGGATAAGCTATATGTATTTACCCTTTTGTGGTTGCGGGGGTTGAACTCTGCTCATTAGGTCCGCCTCTCAACTGTTAATCAATGATCATTTTTTTTCCACAAACACACATACACACACCAAAAAGCAACCCGTAGCAGCTGTCTAACTCCCAGGTATCTATTTACTGCTAGGTAACAGGACAACAGGAAGGGGGTGAAAGAAACTCTGCCCATTTATTTTCCCCCATCGCCGGGATCGAGCCCCAGTCCCAATAGGATTACGAGTCCTGAGTGCTGTCTACTCAGCCACCAATCGCCCTGTGATATGTATGTGTATGTGTGTTTATGTGTGTGTGCATATGTGTGTGCAGGTGAGGACCAGAGAGTGGGCAGAGTGGGTGTGGGCAGAGTGGGTGTGGGCAGAGTGGGTGTGGGCAGAGTGGGTGTGGGCAGAGTGGGCGTGGGCAGAGGGTGGGGTGCTGGCAGGCGGCATCCTGGGTCAGCAAGTGTTTAACGACTTGACTCTTCCTTCGGGACTCGCAGCGACGTTGAGAAATGTGACCTTCAGCCCAGGTGTGGTAATGAGCTCACCTGGCTATTAGCTCTCTCACCCTGCCTACCCCTCTCTCCTCCTTGTCCTATCTCCACCCTCTTAGTAGTCTTGCTAACTTAAAAACTCAACATTTCAAGCGAAGTGTGTTGAGATGTAATTATAAGATTGGTTGGTAATGGATTAGACAATTTATATCATGTAAGGAAGTCCTCTACATCTGTCTTATACACTGTTGGTGCCTGTTTCTCCCTCATGCTAAAAA